GTATATACGTATTTGTGTTAAATCTCGCAATGCAAACATTCTATTTTCAATATCAGCAGATGAACGTAAATTTTTACCCTCCTATTTTCGCGAAGCGCTTCTATAACGTTTTTGTAATGTTATTTTTTTTAATTAACGTAATTAGGTTTGAACTTCAACTGATGAAGTGACGATAGCGTGCACGTTGCAGTACGTATTAAATTTTGCAATTGCTTGGTGCAACAATCTTTATTTAAAAAAAAAAATATATTTGGATAATGAACTCTTTTAATTTTTTTTAATACACATGATGATTTTCTGATCCTTTATTATCGTTTTTTTACACTATCGTTCATGTTTCATATTAATTTTCATTACTTTTTTATAAGTATACAAAAATTAATTCTTACATATACTTTAACAAGATAAAGTATATAAAATTGTGTATTCATTAAAAAAAAATAAATATTATAATTCATTTCTTGATAATTTTAGTATTTCAAAGAAAAGAAATATATAAGACATGAATGACAATGGTGTGCATTAAAGGGATAAGGCGGACTTCGTGGAACGCAGACCCTTATATCTGAGGGGTTTAGAAGAGAGCGTGAAATTCAGTCAGGTATTCAAAGTTTGACAAATAGGACTAGTCGAGTTTGGATCGTGTGCTAGATGGGACGATCGGCAGAGCGGATCTCCGGCCACGATAGGACAATAGACAATTCACAGATCTTATTGAAATATCGGATGCTTTCCTCGAAGTGGAACCAAACAGTAGTGTCGCTAGAGCAGATGGCTGATAGCCATCGCAGATTGGTGCGAAAAAGTTGGTGCTAAGCAAAAAGATACGCGGTGAAAAAAGAATTTTTGTCTTGTAAAAGTGTAAAATATCACATGCACGCATGCACGCATTAACGTACACTTAATAAATAATAAATTTGATTAAAATTTGATTAAAATTTAATTTTCTTGAGTCAGATCATTTAATTCCATTGTTTTAATTAAATTAATATATCAAGAAAGAGCAGTGGCGACTTATATAAAAATAATTAAAAAACTCAAATCAGGTATAATTTAACAATATGAATTTAACAGTGTATATTGTTCATTTTATCTCAGTGTGATATCATCACGATGAGAGGATAAAATACCCATAAACAATAGATTTTGCTTCGTAACGCGAATATATTGGAATAAAATATTCGCATGGATATGTAATTTTAACGGTTGTTAGATTTCGTTTGTCCTGCTTTTTATGCAACGGAACAATTTTGAAGTTCCACTTATGTCCCACGTATCCCCAAGCCTGAATTTGCAATGAAAGTGGATTCGCCTGTGCTATTCGCATGATTGCGTTGCTTAGTAATGGATACGTAAGATGTGAATGCAACTTCACCAGCCAACAGTGAGAAATTTTCAACTGTTTCTTCATGCGGCGATAAAATTTTCTGATAGGTCACCATTCACTAACAACGTTTTTTTCCGAGTGTGCTCGGTTCAAGTGAATTCCACACATTTCGAGCATTCTTAGACGGCAAAAATATACGGTACGGTCGCACGCGAGGTCGCGAAATTTTTCATTATATCGTACAAAGGTTTTCGATACAGTTTTATAAGCGCGAGATTTCATCGCGAGACTCGTAAGCGTCTGCAAAATATTGTTGCGATTTTGAATGATTTTTTTTTTCTAATGAAACAATGGATTTGCATGAAAAATATCTCAATTTATAAAATGCAAATAATTGGATGTGTTTGTTAGATTGCGATAATATTTTATCTATGTAAGAGATCCAATTATCCGAACATCAATTTTTATCAAACATCGAGATCTTTCTTATATTCAAATTATTATTGTTTATTATATCAATGTTGTTATATCAATATTATTTATATTTATTATTTTATCTATTGTGCTTGCTTTTGGTAGGTGGAAAAGTTTGTACGAATCAGTACAAACCGAGTGTATTATTATTTCCTCCTGTTATTTAGATAATCGGTGTACATAACTGGTAGTACTTCACTGTAAGGTTATTGAGATAGATTTTAAACGTAAATACGTGTAGAAATCCGTGGAATCGCGTGAGCAAAGCGATTGTATATTTATAGAATTTTGTAAAATTGAATACGGAAAAGATATTATATTAAAAGTCAGTTATTCAATTTCTCAAGATAATATCTAAAATTTAAATTACTTTACTATTCGTGTTGCATTTAATTGCAAATCAGCTTGTTTAATTTACTAAAATCTCAAAACAATTTACAGCGTCAAAAATATCACGGCTAAATTCCGATAAAAATGAGGATCGATCAGCTCGGACTTCTTCTTTGGAAGAACTATATCATTCGGAAGCGACAACCAGTAAGTTAGATTATTTAACGAAATATCGCTCCATTATCTCAAAAGTGACAACTCAAAAAACGTGATTTTCAAATTATTATCGTGAATAAATTAAGTAAACATTAGAATATGAGTAAACAATAAATTAATTTTACTTAAAAAAAATTATCAAAACCATTACAACTTAGGATTAAAAAAAAGAATTAAAAAAAAGGATTTAAAAAAATATCATTAAGATTATTATAATTAAAAAAAAGAGAGAGTTTTTAAGAGTTACCAATAAAAATGACAAAAATGATATTTGATCTTGTTAAGAATATAATCTTTCTGCTAATATTATTTAATTAGTTAATAATATTTTATCAAGTTTTAAAAAATAGTTTCTTCCCTTTACTAAGAAATTTAATTTTTTTTTCAATTATGTTACTTTTGAAATAAAAAAGCGATATTTGCTTTACGTTTTATCAAATAGATCCGTCTAAATCATTTGACATAATTTCAGGGAATTTTGGCTCTAATTTTTTTCTGGCCGATAGTGATTTTTATGATTCTCTTCACATTGCGCGATAATGACGATCCAGAGTATCATCCGACGTGTCAATTTCCTGCGAGGTCGATGCCGCAAGACGGCCTTCTGCCTTTCATGCAGAGTTACATATGCAGTGTCGGAAATCCCTGTGATCCGCTGTCGAAATACGAGGAGATACCCACGTATAAAAATGCCACGTTAGTTTTTACTCTGTCGACTGTACCGTTAATTCATCAAAATTCGAAAATGTTCATTCTTTCTTTTTTCCTCTCTTTGCAATAATAGTTTAGATCCTTTAGTTGTGGAACTGCAACCGATGCTCAATAATAAAACAATTATCTCCGCTGTGGAAACGTTGCCGCAGAGTATTCAACTCTTGAAATCGATGGCGCAAGTACTTACCAAGCCAGAGATTAAGGCGATTTTTGGTACGATTACATAAAAAATGAGCTAAAATTTAGTTCAATACTTGAACAATTAAATATCTGAATATGTTGACAGATAAAGGAATCCGTTTAGGCGACTTGTTCAACAATCACGACCAAATTAAGAATTTACTTAGATCTCATATGCCGAAAGCAAAGAATGGTTTAATTGACGGTTTATTTGAGTCATCCGTCAAATTAATATATGTAAGTAATTAAATATCTGCTTAAACAGATATGCTATTAATAGTTCGAGACAATCATTTCTTTCACTTACTTAGTTATTTTTATTAGTCTTGCATAAATAAGTGTGTGTCTAAACAGTTATATTAAATGTACTTTTTCTTAAATTTATTTTTCGCAGCACGAAAAAATTATTTTTATTAATTTTTATTTGCTATATTTTATTTGCTAATAAAAATATTTTGTATTTATGTAAAGTTGGTGTAACATTTTTGTACTGATTTTTTAAGACGCTCGAGTGTTAATTTAACATAATGTGATTACGTCATTTGAATATTTTGTGTTAAATTAATATTCAATATTTAGTGTCAAAATAATACAATTTATAAATAAGTTAACAGTTAACATGAAAATAATATATTTTAAAATGTAAATTCTAAGACAAAGGAATAAAATATTAATTTTACTGAAGAAATTGTTTTTATAATTTGCTTACAAATTGTATCAGTGTTATTTTTGTTTTCATTTTTTACATATAATAATATTTGTGTTACTTCCTAACATAATTATGATACGTAAAATATGTTAAATTTAACATAACTTTTTAACTGTGTAGCTAATTCAAACTTTTGGTTCGACTAATATCGACGGCGTCATTTGCTCCCCGGAAAGCCTAAAGAAATATTTGATTCCATCCAAAGAAGAGGATATTACGGAGATCTCGAATGTTCTTTGTAACATCGATCCGCTAGCAATCCCTGATATTTTGGAGAATCTTTCAAAACACTTGGATTTTACTGGTTTACTAGAGATGATCGATCGCGCGATGGCGAAATTTCGCGATTACAATTTCTTCCAGGATTTGAAACGAGCAGCAGAAATTATCCTCGATTTAAAAACAGCCAAGAAATACATACCCGAATACTTGAGGATCCGTGAATGGCTGCCGAAAATAATTTTGGTCTTTCAAAATGTAACCTTCAAGGAAATTGATTTAAACTTGTGAGTCGATTTGTAACGTTTTGTTTCTCTAAACCCATTTCTTCAAGTTCCCACTTAAATCTCTCGATGCTATATTAACAGTTCTCAAAGAATATAAACATGGCGCTTTAATTTCAGCATTAATAAAGCTCTCGTGGTTCTCGATCCCATATTTGCATACGAACGAGATTGGCCGATCGCTCGGAGTGGATTTTTGAAAATAAACAAACTCCTGAAGATAGTGAAGGAAGTTTTGAAAAACCACGAAGTCAATTCCACGCCGGATGATTTCTTCACCGTGATAAATCGGTTGCGCGGGGCAATATCGACTTTCTCCACGAGTCCAGATAATTATGAAAATATCACGCAGATATTAGATATATCCTTTCTGATCCTGCAGGATGGTATGAAGCTCACTAATAAACTGTTGAATCGCCACGCAGATAATTTTAAATTGCAAGTATCTTTTCTGGATATAACAATATCCCTAAAATCACTAATGTCTAACTGTCCGTAATATTAATTTTTAATTTTCAGAGCTGCCGAAATTTTCGATGGACTCAAAAACTTCTTTTCCGAAAACATAGTAAATTCAGTTACATATATGATATCGTTGATGGATAATATTGTGCAAATGACTCATCACGTTGCTATTCTTCACGAAGATACTTTGAGGAGATTATACGAGATCTCTAAAAGACATGAGAATTTAGTCCAAAAGATACTAACAAATCTTCAACCTATTGTATACAGAACGATTATTCGGTCTTTATCGCGATTAGATCTTGTGGAGGTTTGTTATATTTATTATACGATATGTTTCAATATTATTGTATTTTCCTTTAAACAATTTAATGACTATTATTTTTTAATTAAACTAATAAAGTTATGCTTTTCTAAACTTTTCTTATAGCGTCTCGTAGATTTAAGAAAAAGAAAACCTGATGAAATGTTTTGCGAAGAAGATACAATGAAAAAGATATTCGAGAATTATATTGAATTTCAAGATAAATCTAATAAAATAAATGAATTATTCTGCGATAGTGACGGAAGAAAATTCATTATTGACATCTATAACAGTTTTGAGTTTGAGAAATTTGGGACAATTGTGTGTATAACAATTGATTGACAATTAAATAATAACTTGTGTTTTAATTTTTATATAATTAAAGAAACATTTTTCAGGTAACGAATACTTTATCGACCATGGTCACTATGGCATTGAAACGACCAGTCAAGGTTGAAAATGCAAACTTAACATCTGTTGTAAAAACTGTCAAAGGATTCGTGACTTATCTGAATACGCGAAAAGTAAAGTATTTAAACTGGAACATTTTTCAAATCAGCGACGAATGGAAAAAAACTTTCAACGAAATGCAACATCAAGGAAGATTAGATATGTGAGTAAGGAAAGAAGGGATAAAAACCCCAAGCAATATAAATTTTACTTATACAGATACTTGTATATTTATTCAAATTAAAAATTATAAAATATTTTAACTTTTTTTGTGCATAAACGTTTTTTTCTTTAGCTTGGGAATTCATCTGAGCATAGCAAAGATGCTGGGAGTTCGCAGTTTATCATACATATCCGTCAAGCCAGATCTGGAAAATATGGATTTTTTAGCTGAAACAATTTTGCAAGACATACGAAGTAATCCTACTAGTTGGATCGAGGAAGTGCGCCAACACGAAGCTGAGTTAATCAAAACGTTTTATCTTACCACCACGGATAAAAAAAAGGTCGGTTAAAAATATAATTAAGTCTTATTTGATTTTCAGATTTTGCATAATATAATTGATTGTATATTAGATTTTAACATCTCAATACGATCTTCGTTAAACAGATGTTGCAGATCCTAGAATATTCTAATTTCACGCGAGTGTACTGCATGGAATCGAATCCGCCGGAACTGCTAAATTTTCCTAAGGAATCGAACAGTACGATTTTGAAGGAATTGACATGCTATCTATCCAAAATTGTTCAAAGGAATCTGGAATTGAACATGACCAACATTGAAAACGAGGAAGCCACTTACAGGCGGAAGGAATTTAATTGGACCGCCTTTAACGAGAAGATAATAGAGATTTACCAATATATCGATACTCTTCTGCATCAAGAGGATCAATATTATAATTTGAAGGAATTGAATATATTAAAACAAAACTTTAAGACTTCGTGGACGACGAACATAACGGCGAAAGACGCATGGGAGATCAGGTAAAAAAAATTTTCAATGCGCAAAGATCTTTTATAAGGTCGCATTAACTCGTTTTTTATTTGACTGGATTAATTTTTAAATGATTGAATATATTTATTAACTTTATTTCACACACAACACACACACACACACACATACACAAAATGTATCAACTTTTCTTTGAGAATAGCGTTATGATAATTTTCGATTTCCATGAAGAAAAATACATAAGAAACTGTAAAAATATTATAAAACAATCCTCGAATGATTGTGAAAAAAGTCGCACTCTCCTTTAACACAAATTTTCCAACTGTATATGTCTGCAGCGTAGGTGTAATCTGCAAGTTCTTTGACGTGATGGAGAGTCCGCTGTTCGGAATCCAAACGAAGAAAAATTGGAAAAACATTTATGGGCTCGCGTGGGCAATCTCGGTGATCTTCGACAATATCGAGAAGGTCATTGACCAAATCCAGAACCGCGATCACGTGGCAAAGCTTTCCGATGTTTTGCAGGAGATGCCACAGACTGAGACGCTTGTCAGCACGTTCCTAAGAAATTTATCTCCGGTCATTCTTGATGTAGTCGACATGATAACTTTGCGGCCGGTACCTCTTGTAAGTGGCATTTTCCAAATATATCTTGCTCGATAAATTTCAAGGAACTTTTAATGAAATATATCGTGATACGTGTCTTTTACTATTAGATATCGGCTCTTGATGATTACAAACAACGTGAGATAATGTGGCCCTGCATCATGAACGAAAGTGTTGGCGCTGCATTAGAATTAAGAAACGGAAGTCAGGAAGTCATTAGAGAGCTCGAAAGGATTGCATGCAATCCAAGTCTCTTTATCAAAGAGTGGAGAGAGCAACCGATGATAATAAGAGTTCGAAAAATTGTGAGTTTCTAATCTATTTAATTATCAAATATGATTATTTCTTTTTCATAAGTAAAAAACTTCTATTGCCGATTAATATAAATAATATATTAACAAATTATAAAAAAAAATAATAATATAAATTTGAGAATAATAAATCCTAAGTTAAATTCATAGCTATATTAAGCATGTGTTTATTACTTTTAGTTCGAGCATGATGAAAATGTAGATTTACCGTCATTCAACTGGACTTTAGGCTACACGAAATTTCGACGATTAGTGACAAAGTTCGATAATCTGATAAACAACGCTAAAGACATTGTTTTGGCAGAAGAACCGAAATTGGCAAAATACATTAACACACTTGCGACAGAATCGGATGACATTATCGAGGAGAGATTTCCAAGCATGCAACTTGATTGGAAGTATATAAATTACATTTTGTATTACGTAATAAATAATTAGCCTAACGAAAGTATCGTACTATAAAATAGAGTGACTTTGACCCAGATTTTGATAATGCCCAGACAATATATGTAGATGTTAAAATTGGGATATAAACATCTTAAAAATGTCTTAAAAACATTTTAAAACATTTTATGTTTCAATTTTGGACGTAAGTGTTATTAAGATATTTTAAAAAATTGGGGTCAAAATTATTTTATTTTACAGTAATTTCAACTTTTAATCTAGTTAAAAAAGAAGCATTATAGAGACATCTTTATATTTTAATTTGTAGTAATTATTTTAAAAGTATTATATAATTTTTGTTTAAGAAATACCTTAGATCACATCGACTTGGAGATTGACAAGGGGATTGCATCTTTCGGCAGCGATCTTTCTGCAAGTGAAATTTGGAAACCATCAGTTAATGTTACTGATCGTGTTTTCATTTTTATTAAATATTTATCTAATGTCATTCACAAAAGCACACGTATTATAATTGACATATTGAAAAGCGGTAAATAAATTTTCAAATAATAATTATTATTACAAAAAAAGTAACGCTTGTGAAGTATAATTCTTTGAAAATTAATATTAATGACTATTTGATTTGTTATATTCTACTTTTCAGGCACAGGAAAGATTAGTTTATTGTCTTTATTAGGATTCGATAATATTTCTCCTATTACTATTTTTCACGATCAGTTACCTTTTATTCTGGCGACGCTGGTGAATGGGTTATCTGATCCTATGATAGATGATTATATTGTCACAACATTGCAAAGTAATACTACAATCACATGCTCAATGTTGTTCGATTGGCTATCGGATTTTAGAGTCGGTCTGAGCGCCGAGGAGTATAGGATTTTAAAAAATTTTACTTGCGATCTTAATCCTGAAAACTTTAATGTTTACATGGATCTCTATATGTCAGAAATAATGATCTGGAATAAACCCGCTAGCAAATATCGCTCTTATGTAGCTTCAACGCTTAGTGATGCTTTCGATCTTGTCGGAGCTATCAGTCTCACGATGAGACGCAATGTAATCATCGAACCTCCGTTTTCGAAAAAATATTTGAACCATATGATACAGATGCTGAAAGAGAGTTTGGAGATTTCAAATGCAGAGGGTACTTTCCACAAGGTAAATATGATTAAACAATAATCATATTTAAATGTAAAAATCAAGCTAATAATGAGCAAATGCAAGATGTCGTAGTAATAATAGGGAAGATGGGAAGAACTATAACAATTCCTACATGTTCAGACATATAGGAACCTATATGTTTCTACCCATCTCCCCATTATTATATATGATTTATAAGAAAAAGAACCCAACCATCTCCCTCTGAGTTTTTGATATTTTGTTCTTCAGGCAAAAATAAACAACACATATCTTTTTATACATGCCCTAATTTACTTTTAAGAGATAAAACATCCCTTTAAAGAAATAGATTTTTTTCTTTCAAAATAAACATTGTCGAAATTATAAGAGATAGAAAATACTTTTACAAAGTGAAATGTTTTCAAGAGTACTTTATAATAAAGAGTCACTTAGAGCTAAAGAGTTCCTTTGCAACTCCCGCTAATTCAGTACGGATTACGGAATTAGAATTCGCGAGCTGTCGGTTACGAGTCCATCGTTCTCACACGGAGCCATAAGATATCCCATCAAAGAAGTAAATATTAATATGATTTATATAAATGCAAAGTAATATATAGAAAATCAATAACGAATAAATTCAAGATATTGTAAGGTATCAAATAATTTATTAATATGACAAATTAAAATATAGTTAAGAGTAACTATACGTTTCAACTACAAGGAGTCTTCTATATTAGCCAAAGAAAAAGACTTGCTTTGCATTTTACAAGCCATATAAACATTTAATTATTTGTCATTATTTATTTATGTTTTATGAAAATAAAAGTTTAATATTTAATTCTGACATAAGCAATGTAATAATGGCTATTCTTTTTCAGGAACTGAAACTGGGCCAAGGATGGTCGAATTACAGATTACTGATGGAAGGCGTGTCGGAGATTCTGATCCATATTGGCAATGCGTTGAAACATGCAGAGATACATAATTACGAATTAAAAACTTGGGAATTAGCGGAGAACGGTGATATGCGTCAAGTGCTGAAGATTCTGGAGGCTCATCCAGAAGAGACGGTTGCGTTAATTGCCACTCTTAGCACGCTTAACGATGTGACTGGTGAATTTATGCCCTTCAAGGATGTTAGGAAGATGATGTGCACTCAGCATTTTAATTCTGAGTATTGGTCCACAACAAACAGAACGCGTTTCTTGCAGGAAATATGCTCCTTCGATCCCTACCAGCTGTTGAGGACTGCCACGAGCGATGAATACTATGTACGTACAGTAAAAACAATATTATTTGAATAAGTTATTTAATCCTCCAGACGATCTATTAGATTCAATTATATACTTCATGAGATTTTTTTTCTTTCTGTGATAAATTTATTTAAAATATGTTAGATGTATTGATCTAACATCTAACTTTGGTCGTAATTGCTTCTCGTATTTAGTTGAGTTATTCATATAAATGATCTTATTTCTAATCTTAATATTGTATATTCTATATATTACATCTACGAACTTGAATTATTGTTATTAAAATAAATTTAGTATTAAATTTCAGTTTAGGATCGATATTTCAAGATCGATAATTAATAATAACAGTTTGCTTGAACTGGAAATTAATAAAATTGACACAAAAGTGTTATTAGACACTAAGACTCGTTTTGAAAAATATGATCTTTATTTGTTAATTAATAATCGTTCTTTTTTATATGAATTATGTTATTTTTATACTTTGAAATTTAATGATTTTGAATTAATGATTTTGAATATAAATCAAATAAGTTTTGCAGAAGTAGCGTCATGTGTTACAAATTTTGCCATCAGCTTTGAGAATTAATTCATGCTCTGAATCTCTCGAAAATATTTCTAATAATCCGTTTATTCTTATGCATTTTTTCGGCAGGAGGTTGTCACCGGTAAAAGAACTGCTCTTTCGAGATCGACTCCGTTAACTGTCTCGTTAACAAAATTATTGGACATTGTCTCAAATTTTATGACCGAGTCACCAGGTGTGAATCTCAAATCGAACATCTTCAATGTAACGACATGGATGAATCTGTCTAACGAAACTTGGGCTTTGATCCTGAAATCTGAGAAATCTTGGATCCACCATTATCAAAATTCTGCGTGGTACAAATTCAACATGACGTCACACGTCGGTACAGATTATCTTGTTAGATCCAGGAGACTATTTCAGCTCCTGGAATCCGTGATCGATCTCGCGTCCGGTGGAGATATTTGGCAGAAGCTGCGTAACGTGTACGAGATCTCGAAACTCAAGCCGTTATTAACGCTCGTGGAGGATATGCCTAATCTTCTTATCACCGCTACCGATACCTTCGCCTCGTCCGAGAGATTGGATGATTTCATACAGAAGTTTCTACTTGGCTTAGTGCACCCTTGCAATATCGATCGATATCTGATTCCACCCAGTTACATAAGGAAGAGGGGTTTATTGACCAGCATTAAGAATTTTTGCCAGAAGATCCTCCTGAGTGATGAACAGTTGACATGGATAAATTTGTTGCCATTGAATGGAAAATACAATGTAATATTTGATCGAGTAGAGATACACAGAAAGAATGATTTTGCTAAAAATTTAGTTAGACACAGATCTGAAAATTTTGTTGGATTACCAAAATAATTATACGAAGCTCAAGCTGATTGCTAGAATGTTAAAACTTTTTGTATTATTTTTAGTATTATTCATTATATTTGAATTTCTTACATAATTATTTTAATAAACCAAAAACATTTTCAGATTTATCTAAATTTTTGAATATTTTAGTAAAGTTGTTCTTTCCATACAGTACATCAAGCTAAATTTCAAATATTTTTTAAATTAATTTCTAGGATAGTTACATTACGTCCAATATGTCTGACTTATCAGAATCCGTTTACGAAGAACAGCTGTTGCAGAGAGTGCAAGGATTTCAGATCACTTTGATTCGTGCTTTGTCGGAAGGCTTTAAGCAGTTAAAAGTTCCTGCATGGTGGACGTCATTCGAGGAGGGTAGCTTAAAAAACTTCATCGCGCAATATAAAAAAAAGGTAGACATTTTTGTCTATCTACTGTCGAATTTTTATTTATTAAACGTTCCTTATACCGATTAATGATTTATTAAAAGTAGACTTTGTTATTTAAATCTCTCGAGAAAATTATCGCGACTTAATTACAAATATTTGTAGGATATGAAGACTCTGGCATATTCGATGGTGAAGAAATCAGTATCACTTTTAAAAAATTTTTTGGTAACTCAAACTGATGCTGCGTAAGTAAACGTATCACTAAGAATAATAATTATTCAGATAACAATGAAGAAAAAAAAATAATATACACAATTTTTTGTGTTCTTAGAGATTGTAAATGGTGTTTTACTCTTCCACTGGAAGTTTTAAATTCTCAGCTGATGCACCATAATCTCTACTCAAAATTACTCTGTCAAATGAATCGATTAAATATATCGGAGGTGCATGAAATTTTGGTGAATGATTTTCACTGGAATAAAACAGGCAACATGGTAAGAAATGATGTTATAAATTACATAGAAGAGCGTTAGTATCGTTTAATTAAAAAAAAAAAACGTATTATAGGTTAAAGATTATAAATATCTGAATAAAAAGAAGACACTAGATGACTTCTTAATTACATTCGAAACTACTTTACATTACATCGCTGATATTCTGGTTGATTTCCAAAATGAGACATATAGTAATAGAGTAAACGAGTGCTTTTACAAATTTGTCGGTGGTCCTACATATTCTAGACCAGGATTGTAAGTATTTTTTTCTTTCGTCGTATCACGCAAGCAATAAGTGTCATTATATACTGCGAAGTAATACTGCTTATATTTATTACTAGAAAAAACAGGTGTTTTACTTTATAGATTTATTTTTTTTTAATTCAAAGTTTTTATTCAAAGCTACTTTTTTTTCGATGATTTTGATCTCTACTTATTGCGTTCCAGGTACGTTACATTTATTTTGGGAATATTGGAAATGCTGCAAAAGAACGTTTACATCTTGGATTCGGCGTCCATCCACGAAGGTATCAACAATTTGACCCGATTAGCTGAGAAACACGTGCCGATTTGGCAACCATTGCGCGACGTAGTGAAGAAGTCTGATATCGCTGACATCGACGCTGCGTTACCAAATGCCACTATCAATGTGAATGCGATCTTAAGTAATCTGAACACGAGTCTATGCAAGATAAAAGTTGACTGTCAAAATGCGACGGTTCTGTACAATTTTCTCAGCTCGAAGAGAGCGACTAAGGTTTTCCGATACAATCCGAAGGCATCAAAGTATCCGACGATATCCGACATTTCAAGCCGATTGGCTCGAAGTCTGGACGTGGATCTCATAAGTCAGCAGCTGTCTTTCTGGCGCACAGAGGCTTCTTGGAATCTCTTCTGGCTCAAAGAGATCTTGGTTCATTTATCCTCGATCCTCGAAGAAGGAGGAAATTTGCTGGACATCGCTAGTAAAATAGATCTCGAAGATGTCACCAGCATTCTCGGGGTTCCCGATCTCGCCGAGGGCGTCATTAATATATTGAAGGATAAAACGGTTGACAAATTATTCGATGGGTATATATACGTTTTGATTTATATCTTTTTATACATGCCAGACGATAAAATGTGTAAATAATAAGTAATATTCCCAAATAATTTATGAAATTCATTTATTTCTCATAAAAGCTTGATATGACATTATCTCACTGTAATTTTAAACAAATTTGTAATTCCTAATTGAAAAACATATATATAGAGAAAATGAGAATCAAGTGCAGTTAGTGGAGTGGAAATTATATAAATCATATATATTCAAAATTTAAATAAACTTTCAAATGTTTTGGTTTCAATTCGAACCATCATCAGTGATTAATGTCTTAATTTATATCTCGAATTATTTCTCGAGTTTTAATTGGAAGTTAAAATAAATTATCTGAAAATGAATATTGTTCAAACTGCTTGCAAGGCTAAATGATTAAAATAAATTAGGAAATTGAATAAATATTCTCTAAAAAGATGATATAATCACCTAATTTAAGTTATAAAAATAATAAATATAAAATATATTTAATTTGTCAAAAAAAGTCAAGAAGTGTATAATAAATATATGAATCTGTTATAAAGTTAAAAAATTTACGATTATTACGTAAAAGCTTATGTAAATTTTAAATATATATGATTTAATTTGACGATATATGATTTACACTTCGTAATTGGGCTTAACTTCCATTTACCCTGTACGTTCTTCTTTTGAATTTTTGAATATCAAGAGATCTTTGATTGTTGTCTCTTGTAATTCTTAATATTATAATATATGGTACGTATCATATTAAAAATATGTGTTATAGAATGAAGGAACTTCTCGAGGATGTGGAGCCGTTTATTAGCGATCACGAAATAATCGAGGATTTACACAGAATAATCGCGACATTGGAATCAATGGAGATCTTCAAAAACCTAGGACTGCTGGACATGAAATGTATTAAATTTAAATTTAAACTTCTTTAGATTACGCGGTGACTTTTTTATTGCTAACAATTTATATTTTACAGACGTTGTCAACGAAATGTTCGACAATTGGGACTTCGTACGAACGTATTTAATCGACAGAATTGGTATTACCAACGAGATCGCTCTCACTTTAGGTGAGGCAAAGATAGATATGATTTCAGTTTTCATGCAACAACGTGGTATCGTTAGTCTGAAAGATACCATTTGCTCTCCTGAAAAGCTTGGCAATATGTTGCACTTCAACAACAATCTTGTGACTGCCGAGGAAGTTAGTTTTGCGCTCTGCCAATTGGAAGATTCTCAAACACAGGATATTACTATCATGTTGATGAAGAACTTGAACTTTGAATATATTTTCAAAAACGTAATTTTACTGTTTATTTATATATCACAAAGAGTTTGTTAAATTCTTTTCACATATAGTATAAATAAATAATTTTCTTCGTTTTAGCTAATGAGCGTTAATGTGAAAAGTATATTGATTAACGCAAATCTAACCGAGAGCGAAGGAAAAATTATATTGGACAATCTTGGTGTTGCTGCGGAATTATTTCCATTATTCAAAGATAGGCTATCAGCTAGTTTTTCTGTTGGAAAGATAACGGATGAAAGTAACAAGGAAGAAATTGACGAAGCAACAAGTAAGTCGTGTAATGTAATATACCGGCATTGTCTTTGAAATTAAATTTTCATTTCTTTTATTAAATTTTATAATTTTTTTAGATTCGCAATTTCTGCAAGAATCTAGCAAGCTACTTTGTGGTAAAACATTGTTCCAAAATCAGGGGCAACTTTATAAAATTATCGCCAGCTTGAAGGATAGCAACAACGCGTCCGATCAGAGAGAACTCGATTCCTTGCCAGGTGAGACATAAATGAAAATTGCAAAACAGACCATTAAATAATACGGTTTATCGTAAAAAAATGTTTTAAATTTCAGACTCTTGCAAAGAAACGTATAAAACTGTGCTTGCTATACCCGGCGGAAAGATCGTCTGGTCGTATGTTAAGCCTTTGTTACGCGGGAAGATTCTTTATGCACCTAATACCGCTGTGATTTCTGAAGTCATGGCGTTGACGAACGAAACCTTCGTGCAGATGGATAACTTTGGCGTGCTGGTAAATAGCGTTGAGAAGACTCTTAAGGCTATAGCCAATCTTACAGAGATGGGCGATACTTTGAAGGAATTACAGAACATACTATCTTCCGATGTCATGAAGGTTGCAATCAAGTCAATGAGTAGTGGCAATTTCGAAGGTATTGTCCGTGTTTTAATCTTGAAGCTTTGACATTTTAATCCTTCGGACCGGTGGATCTATTGGACTTATTTAATTATAAACTTTCTTGTCAAATATGTCAAACGATCAATTCAATTTTCTTTTTACATCAGTAAAGAATCCCGTACAATTATAAGGAAAACTTAGTTAGTAAAATGATATGTTAGTTTTTATATATAATATAGCTTACAATATGGTAAACAAAAGATATCATAAACATAAGGACCAATGGTTAATTTATGAGCTTGGTGTATCAAAAGTATAAAATTTTCTGCTTACACAGAGTACATTTAATATACCATAACTCAGAAACTGTGTAAAATGTTCTTTCTAAATTCTTTAGAATAAAATTTCACTCTAAAGAGTAAAAAAAATTCTGTCACTTTTTGAAACAGTGGCAGAATTTTCAATCTTTACGAATGAGATTTTATTCTTTAGAGTAAGATTCCACTCCAAAAAATTCTACACAAAAATAGATTTATAAGTTTAGCATATAAAAAAATGTAAAATGTGCTTGTTCTCACAAAGTATCTTTGATACATCCTAGTTAAAAAATTATTCATTATTGAACTTTATGTCTATGTTTTTTGATCACATTATAAGCTATATTTATGTGAAAACTGATTCATTTCATTCAATTTTCTATATAATTAGTGCAGGATTGTTTGGATTATTCTTATAGAAATATACTTGATATTCATATTTTCATATTTTTTTTTATACGAGTTATGTCATTTTGATTTCTCAAAATTAATTAGTGCCTTTTAATTAACAAAAATTAAGTAGTCGTACAGATCGAACATCAGTAATTGTGTTACAGATATCGATATCGCTTCGAAGAGTTAAACTTAAAAATTACGTTAAAATGCAAACAAGTGTTCCCAACTAAAAAACGTTGTTATGTAGGTGATCTTTCCGAGTTGAATATCAGCGAGCTTGCATGGCGATTGAAAAATTCGACAAAACTGATTTCGATGATTGGCATGCTGAACAGCATGATGGGATGCGTGGTAGTGAATAGAACAATAGGATTTTCTTCAGAAGAAGAACTGGAAATAGCAGCTAGTCGCTTGACCGAAACGAACGAGTTTCTAGCCGGGGTGATCTTTCTGGACAACACTTCTTCGCACTTAGCGAAGAGATCTCTGGACCACGAATTACCGGACAATATTACCTATAAAATCCGCATGGATGTGGACTACGTGCCATCCACCAGACGACTAAAGACTCAATTTTGGCTCCCCGGGCCGGAAAGTAGTTTTCTCGAGCATCTCAGGTATCTTCGGGGTTTCATTCAACTTCAGGACTCTGTCGATCGTGCGATAGTGAAAGTGAAAACGCGAAGATACGATCTTGAATGGAAGACAGTCACGCAACAGATGCCGTACCCGTGTTGGAAAGACATACCGTAAGTAATCAACATCTCGAGATAAGAACTTTGTAATTGTTGAGGACTTGGATTAATCCGTTGAAAATTTTGAAATTGCTATACCTTATTAGCAATTATCAGTGATTATTTATCAATGCAACGAGGGAAATAGATACAAATGTTTAAATAATGAGGGAAATAAATATTACAGATTCCAAACGACGCTTTACGAGTCTCAAGGTATGCAAGTATGCTTTTTCTTCGCGTTAATGATGTGCGTTGGATCGGCCGTCAGGCATATCGTTTGGGAAAGAGAATCACAAAATTCTATGGTACGATTAAAATAATGTTAATGCAATGTATAAAGTCTATTTTGTCTACAATTCATATGAGAATTTAGGACTTTATAATTTTAGATTTATAATTTTAAATTCTATATAAGTATGTGTTAAATTTCATTATAATTGTAACAGAATTTATAATTTTCAACTTACTGTTGTTTATAATTTTATATGCTATGCAATAAGGCAGACGTTTGAAGAATCAAAATGTATGTATATCATAAAAAATTATGAATTTTATTAAATAAATTTGATTAAATAAATAGAATTTTAACATTTGACACAAATTATAGATAAATCATAATCATAAAATGGTATTTATCAAATCTTGACACCTTAACACTATAATTATCCATTTGACGTATAATTAATTTTTCAGATAATGAGCGTAATGGGATTAAAGCCATGGCAAAATACTCTGGCTTGGTTTATCACGACTTACGTGGAGCTGTCAATCGTAATGATTTGCATCTCTATAATTTTATTGGCTGGGAAAATTCTTCCACGATCGGATCCTTTCCTAGTACTTGTTCTGCTTTTTGATTATATTTTCTCTATAGTGACTTTCTGGTAAGTAACTACTTCAAGAATATCTTCCGTCGTGCAGCTGCACGTATTCGGACATGAGATTACATTTCCTACTCCAGAGTTAACTACTGTAAATCTTAATTACATTTCAGCTACATGATCTCGACGATGTTTAGCTCCGCCAGTCTCTCCGCGATTACCACAGTTGTCATGTTCCTGTTAACTTATATGCCGTATGTCATTGTTATCGCCATGGAGGCTGTATTCGGATTAGGATACAAACTTCTAATCGTGAGTCGAGCTAGCAATCTAATCATATTCATATACTGAAAAAAATATACTAAATTTTTAATAAATTATTTGTTTGAATAGTACCAACTAGATATTTACTAGATATAAAGATATATATACATACATACATATATACATACACACACATATATATATATATATATATATATATATATATATATATGATACAAAAACATTAATTTAATTATCATTTCTTTTTTTGAAGCAAAAATTCATTTATTGTAAGTAAATGGCTAGCACTATTCAATAGTTGACATTATTTAAATAAATATTAATTAAAATTTAGTATATTTTTTCTCGGTGTATTTAATTTTATAAAGTACAATTAAAAGTATTGCGGCGATTGAATACGTGACATTTATGTCTAATCATTTAATCTTCTGGAGTTGATGTCAAAATTTGTAACAATAATTAATTCTGTAAGACCCATTCAATTTTTGTTAATTAAAATCTCTAATTTCAAAAAATTAAAATGACATAAGTCATATAAAAAGAAATTAGAGAATATAAAGTATATTTTTTAATAAAAAATAATCCAAATTTACAGAAATAATAATAAAAAATTAAATTAACATTTTTGACAAAGAGATTTATGACCAAGAGATCTACTATCAATTCTGAAGGGATATAATTGAGTGGGTTCAATAGATGTCAGCTCCGGAAGGTTAATGAAGAATTCGTTCTATCGTCAAGAATATTGCGAAACAATTTATTTCTCAGTGCCTGAGCATGTCGACCAGCTTCTGTTATGGATGTCTGTTCGCGGTGCGAAAGGAAGTACAAGGCATCGGTCTTTCTTGGGCACATATGTGGGAGGAATCGACTCCTGGTGATCCGATGACTTTGGGAATATTGTTGATAATGATCGCCTTCGATGGCTGTTTGTATGCCATAATTGGCTACCTCATCACTAGATATATTGATTCAGGTATAAATGCGCCCAATGCGCCTCCCATCTATTATACTTTCTAAAACAAAATAATTCTTTGACATTCTGGTGGAGGTGTTAAAAGTGACTAGTAGAAATTGGCTAACATTGACATTGTTTCTCTCTCCCTTTTTTTCGTGTGAGATAATCATGATCGATAAATTGCGCAAATTAATATTTCTTGATAAGATTGATTTTATTAACAAAAAAATTTTTCGCTAAGTTCTCTTGATCCTGTAGGTGATATTTCAGAATTATATATTTATTTTTCTGTATTTTAATGCCTCATTATTGCCACAATTTTCTCATCGATAAAATTGACTAAAATTGTTAGAGCTATTTGATGGAATTATTTGAAATAAATATAACAATAATTAAAACTATTTGCTTTAAAAAAAAGTCATGGAATGATTTAGTTTTAATAATTTTTTTATGAAAAAATGCATAAGTTATTTAAAATCGCAAAACGTTTCATAATTTATTCTAATTTATATCTATATATATCAATTCGTTGGTTAATTAATTATTAAATCAATAATTAATTTGATTAAGAAATTAATTACTTAAATTATACTTTATAAAGAAATATTTCCTCTATTTAAAATAATTTCATATAATACTATTCATAAAAATATTCTAACGCGTTTCTTCTGCATGGTTCTCATATCGAGAAAATAATAATGAGATCACGCATATCATCCTGGTACCATTTTCGCAAACTTTTTGCACGTACATTTCACATGTACTCTAACTCTTCCGTATAATCACGAGATGCATCTGCGAGAAAGATCCAGGAATGCGGATCCGACATGACGAGAGAGGTCGCGTCGTTTAAGAGAAGTCGATGAGGAGACCTGGTGAGTTATCTGCGAAACGGACGAGCATTACCGATAATTTTCCAGGTAGGGGCTTTCACAGTTTGAGGTCCCGTAGCTTATGGTGGACAGACACACGCTCTCTCTATGGCAGGCCAAGTTACCTCGCCTTCGTCAACAATCTCTATTTCACTAACGACGTTTTTCATCCCTCAGCTGCTTACCAAGGTATCGCACTCTTCCCTTTGCACACGCATGTCACGAAAGTTTGTTTTCAGCTTACCTCTCGCGCTGCCGATGACGAGCTCGCATGTTGGCTTTACGAGGAGCTAGGGATAAAAAGAACGCTTTGATAGACATAAACTGAGTTAAATTTTGCTCGAACGGTAGAACGGTGGAAATGATCGTCAACAATTTTCACATAATAATTTAGAACTTCGACATTCCTGTAAAAACTTGTGAAAATTTTCGTCAAGGAAAAGACTTATTTCCAAGAAAAGTGCAATTCAAGTGACAATATCATTTGTAATCTAATATTACATTTCAAAGTAATATTAAATTAATAATACGTACATTACTTTAGTAGTATTATTATGAAGTTATAAGTTAATATTATTAAATTAATTTTCTTATTTATAGTTGTAGTTATATCCCGCATCGCTGTTCTTTTTATTCATGCCATAATTATGTGGGTATCATGCTTTTTATATTTTCATGCATTTCTGAATGCTTTTATATTTGATGTTTAAGCATACGGTCACATCTGCTTGAAGTTTATGTGAATGTTGCATATTTTTCAATTTTCTTTCCAATTATTTCATTATATCTTTACAATATTTTAAAAGCAAGTATATTAAGGCCAAATAATTGTTCGTATATTATGTATCAATTCAAATTTATTTTCTACGTTCGAATAATTTATCTGCACATACAATATTGCACGCGTCGCATGGAATAAAATTTAAAAAGGAACATTTGTGTTTGTTCTCGAACTCGATAGAAAGTATCGGAATTTAAGAGAAATGTTCATACTTGTGGTATGTATATGGAGTTGCTTTTTGTTTGAAAACAGTTTTTAAACTCGCTTCTTTTTACGTAAAATCGGTAAGAGCTTGTTTTCGATTATATAGGTATCGTTATTATATTCTTGATAACAAATTGGTGTTTGTTGCCGAACGTGTAGATGACGAGAGCGATCTGAGTAACTTGACGGTCACAGAGAAGCAAATCGGTGTGAAATTCGAAGGAGTCAGGAAGGTCTATCATACTGAACGAGGTGATGTCATCGCCGTGGAGGACTTCACTTTGAAGCTCTGCGAGGGTGAAGTAACAAGCCTGCTTGGAAGAAACGGCGCGGGAAAAACTACTATTATGTACGCCAATCGCTTTTCGAATTGATCGTTATTTTTAATATATTTTGATATACTTGAAATCTGTTCAATATCACGATTGAACGACGTTCGTCAATTTTGCTCTTTTATTACAGCAAGATGCTAACGGGAATGGTGGCACCAACCAATGGCGAAATTTGGTTAAACGGTGAGGAAGGTTGTAAGCCCGAGATAGGAGTATGTCCTCAGGAAAACGTCCTAATCGGAACTTTGACGCCGAGAGAGCACATGATCTTTTATTGGAAGCTTAAGAAACCTAACGATGACAATAACAGTATGCAGAGGAATGTTAATGAGTAAGATGCTAAAGTAGAAAAAATTAGCAATTATTATAGTAAATTAAATTATTAGTATACTTGTAGCTCCAAGAATATAAATCCAGTATAAACGAATGTGAATTCCGTTCCGTGAATTGTGTTCCGCGGTTGTTATGTGAAAATTATATTCATAAAAAATTATATTCATAAAATGAGATATAATTCGCAAATAATTGAAATGTATTTATCAAATAAAATTAACTGCAAAACAATTATTACTTCAGCAATAATAAATAAGATACACTAAACTGTTATATAAATAAATTAAATAAGTAAAGAAGCGCCAAGTCTAAACATTATAATCAAGGTTGGATCTTAATAATATTTCTGTGTAAATTTTAGATATGCGAAAAAAAAAATCTTATACTTGTACTAAAAAATTATCTAGATATGAAAAATTATTAGGTGTTGGAATTAATTCGTAGCGTTTTACAAGTGATGGGAAGTACTTTCATTAATGTATTTTTTAATGCTCATGTGAAATAAATAACATTCTTTCATTAAAAACGCTACGAATTAATTCCAACACCTAATAATTAAAATGAATATATGATTTGCAAGGACGGCAATATTGTATATATTTTGTATATATTTTGTATCTAATCAATATAATATCTAAAATCAATAACAGAAACAGATTACAACGATTCATATCTGAACCTTTTGTAAAATTTATCAAAGTTTCTCTGTAACGTTTAATCAGATATTTGTGATTCATATTTAACAGTGATTCATATTCGATTATAAGACTTAAAATTTTTTACATATATTGTTAGAATATTGTGTTATAAATTCTACGCGTATGATACATAATTTTTTATCAGATACAAAAAACAGCAATAATTCTAGCTGAAGCAACAAAATATTTTTTTACGTGTATCTTTCATATAAACTGCACGCCGATTGTCAGACTTAAAATGTAATCACAATAAAAAATGTAATCTGAAACAGAAATATTAACAAAATAAAATTAATTAGTTAAATAAATTAAAAACATTTAAAAATATTTATTTGCTAATAATCAAATCATTATTAAATTGACAATTTAATCAATTTATATGTATAACTGAAACATATATTTGAAATTTATATAGAAATATATTGGGTTAGGGAAAGTCTTTTTACTTGTATATATATGTAAAAAAAACTTTTTTCCCGGCTTATTATTAAGTATCAAAGATTCAGATAGAATTTGATAGCATTTATTTCTATTCGCTTCTTTACTTACTTAAAAATTTTTCAATTTTTTCATTTAATATATTTCCTTTGTGCATGAAAAAAAGTCTTTTCTTTTAGTTTCATAGGAAAATCGTTTTGTAATAGGTACGATTTATCAAGACAAACGTTACGGATCTTTTTTTGCTCTCCTACAGAATGATGGCCTCTCTAGAACTTGGGCGTCAGGAACATGAGCCCGTGTCACGTTTATCAGGCGGTACACGACGTAGGCTCTGCGTGGCTCTGGCTTTTCTTGGTTCGCCACGTTTGGTGATCTTGGATGAGCCCGGCGCCGGTGTGGATCCCGCAGCCCGACGACGGATCTGGCGACTGATAGACCAACATAGGATCGGCAGGACCGTGCTCCTCTCGACTCACCATCTGGACGAGGCTGATATGCTAAGTGACACGGTTGTGGTGATGCACAAAGGGAAGATCTTGTGTACTGGTTCGCCACTATCCTTGAAAATGACACATGGCACGGGATACAAACTGAACATCTCTTTCCCGCCCGATCACTACGCCAATGGAGATGCGGGGATAGGAGGAATAGCAGAGACAATCGAGAAAAAGAACTTGAAAGCTCTTCGTACTATTATCGAGGAAATTATATCAAACACCGCGATAAACGAGGTCTCCGAAACAGAGGTCACCATTGCGTTGCCTTTTCAGGGAAAGAATGGCATTAACAATGAGTAAATTTTTAAAATATTAATCTTATGATTATTTTCCAGTCCTTTACTACACACGGTGTAGGGTTATTCGAGTCTGGGTTAATTTTTATCACATTTGCAAGTATACAAAAAAATTATTAATTACTAATTCTTACATATATTTTTTAGCATCTTTAAAAAATATTTATAAAGCTGTATATTAAAAAAAAAAGAATAGAGATCATTATATAAGTGCTTAGTATTTCCACACAAGAAAAGAAATACACAGGACACGAATGATCCTATTGTGTATACTGTAAAGGTTAATTATTAGCGTGCATATTATTGGAATACTGATTAATTTTATAATCGAATATCAAGTTGTTTTTATTTTTTTATTCGTGTAAAGAAACGTGTAAAATAAATTCGCGTGCAATATGCAAGATTCAAGAAAAAATATGTATTAAGTGAAATCTATATTATACTGCAGAGTAATTTATTTGTAATTCCCATCTTTGCAAATTTGATATTTTAAGCCTCGTGATTTATCTTAGAGGCAATCGTTGCAATCGTATTTAAGACAAAATCGATTAAACACCTGCGTTTGCGTTCGAGTAAAGCCAGGAATGTTTCAGCATCGCGCAAGTGGCAAAAGCGCTGGAGGACAATCGTAAGCTCTTGGGATTCTCGCACTTCTCATTGGAGTGTGACACTCTGGAAAGAGTCTTCTTGGATCTCTGCGCGCGAGCAGACAAAGGATCAAGCGTTATCAGAGCGAGTCAAGATAGCGTTGTTAATATGGAACTCGCCGGTAAGAAATATTCCGTGTGCACGCCTCGTAAAGTACACATATTTATTTTTCTAATTAAAAGATCTATATATTTAATCTTTGATTGTTTAGTTTTTTGAGGAATTTTTTGGGGGTTTAATTTTTTTAGAAGAAATAAGAAGAAAAGAAGAGAAAAAGAGTTAAAAATAAAACAGATAATAAAAAACTATAATATAATAATATTTAAATAATATTTAAAAAATGCAAAAATGCAAAACTTGAAAAATGAGTTTCGTAATTTTAAAATTACAACATATTTAACAAAAAAAGTACGTAAAGAAAAAGGAAATAAAATAATAATAAAGCCACTTAATTATTACATTATCGTGCCATTCAAAATTATCATCTTGAATATTTAATTAAGCATTATGTCCAGATTAAAAAAAAATTAGATTTATTATTTTGCAAAGAAAGAAGTTTAGTTTAATTGATTTTAAATCAATGGCACTTAAGTTCATAGAGAAAAATAAAAATTTTCACTTTGCGCAGAAGTTCCCGTATCAGACGACAACATTGATTTAATTACCGATATGATGGTGAGACCATCGCCAATTCGACAGATGAAAGCTATAATAAAAAAAAGGCTATGGCATTTCGCGAGAGATTGGAGAGCGCCATTGGCTGCGCTCGTTTTACCAACCATGTTCGTTGCTGTCGCTATGGGATTTTCTCTGGTACGACCACCGTCCGAGAACGAACCACCTCTGGATTTGACCCCAAAACTTTATGATATTCATCCGACTTACTTTTACAGGTAGAAAAAATTTAATATAAAGATTTTAATAGAAAGAACAAAATAAAAATAAAGCGTAGTAAAAATTTCATAGGTATGAAAATATCAGTTGCTAACAAAATACGATCTATTTATATTTACATTCCTGCAGATTAGAACTTTAAATTTGATCAAACTAAATTAAGTTAAATATTCAATTTCTATTAATATTCTTAAAATTTTTTGATACTTTATCATTGCAGTATTGATGGTAATGACCCGTTCCTAGAACGCGTGTCTATGCAGCTGCACGATCGCTTCGGGGATGATTATGCTGGAGCATGGCAAACCTTACCTAATGTATGAATGAATGATAATTATTTCAAAGATCCTTACCTATTTTGGGCTCTTTGCGTATAGTAATAAATTACATACTAATCGATAGAAGAATACGTTATTAAATTCGTTGCTGAAAAAATCGCTAAAAAGAATTAGTTTTTCCGATTTTTCAAAATAAAAATTATTGCCATTTTGAAATAATTTTTAAATTGTAAATGGGTTTTGTTACGAATCCTCTAATTATTCTGCATATAAACGTAAAGTAGAATTATCGAAAAATTAATACTTTGTAAGATATTTTATATTTTATTCTGATACATTTTTGCACAAAATATAAAATATCTCGTAATATATTCATTTTTTTATTACTTTAATATTTTTATACACTTATAGAATAATGGGATAATAATTGGTATAAAAAAACATACTTAGTTGCTTTCCAAAAATGATATGTAATTGCATATTGCAAATTGCTTAATTCTTTTTAAAAGTAATTATATATTTTTACATCAATTGATTCATCTCAATATCTTGTGTAATAAACATATTAAAATAGAATTACTCAAGAATTAATATCTTACGAGATATTTTATATTTCATATAAAAATGTGTCAATGTGTCTAATGTATTCCAAATAGTATATCTTTGAATAGTGTTGACTTAGAGGAGTGTCTTTGAAATATTTTGATTCTTTAGCAATAATCTTTAATTAAGATTCATTATTGTATGCAAAAAACCCAGAACCCATATAAAAATGGCCACGATTTGCTTTGAAAGAACTTCAAACAAGTTCTAATTATAAACAATTGCGCATTTATTTCTTGAATAATTCATAGGATACCGGAACCTGCGAATGTTTGGATGGTCAACAAACTTGTCGAGGTGTTTCTAAAGCTGTCGAAGGTCTTCTTCAAACCCTGCCTGGCCGACCCACTCTGGATTGGATAGTATCAACTCATCAGGAATATATAGAGAAACGGTAGATTTCGCGCATTAAAGTGAAGATATTATCTAGTAAATACCAACCCATACAACACAAAATCATTTCAACAATATTGCTGTAACATTGTAACGTTACAGATATGTTGTTACAAGCTTCTGTGCTGTATGCAACTAAAAGTAAACATCAATGTTATGTAATTTCATAGTTAACAATATAAATGTAGTATCTATTTTACAATAGCCATAGCGTAGCCGTAAATAATTGTAGTTGTAAGAATCGATCAATTTAACCGAACATGAAAATATTCGACTGTAATTAATCAATTTTTACAACTACAATATTTATAATTACAGCTTGCAACTATTGTAGAACTGGTATAATATACACATATATATGTGATATGTTACATATTAGTTACAGTGCTAAATGTAAAATTATAACATTGATGTTACGTTTCTTTTAGTTAACATTTACTAGGTAGATATTAAAATTCGATTAAAATTTTCTGAATAAACAATGACTCGCAGATATGGCGGCTGGTCCTTGTCGCACTCCAAGGAAGATCCTCTTTTCATCGTTTGGTACAATAACAAGGGCCACCATTCAATGCCAGCGTATTTGAACGCTCTCAATGAGGCAATCCTGCGAGCAACCGGGGTGCGAGGACACTTAACCACACTCAATCATCCTTTGAAGTTATCGAGCGATCAGCTAAATCGAACGACACTGTAAGCCCTCACCTCTAATATTGCGACAAATCATGGAGAAAATCCTCCGTCGAAGATATTTCTCGTTACGCGCACCCACGGGATTAATTAACTGCGGAATTTTATGTGACGGGATGCAGGCGGGTTCCCTCAAACGGATAAAACGAAGATATTTGCACGCGGTTCGAAGCTCTTGAATCCAAAGGGGTCGGCGAGTTGAAACATCCCGATGCAGACGTTTCGTTTACTTTTAATTAACGTACCGCATCATTTGGTATTCACGCCGATAGCTCGCCGCTCGGCGCGTGTTTCAACGTTACATCGCGGAATTCCTACTTGTATCGTCAAATCGCTAACGATACCACTCTTGTTTGCTTTTCGTGGTTAATATTGAAAATCATATACTGCACAGAAGAACATATCCGATCGTTTCTTCTTTTATAGTAGTTGGCGTCGTTTAACCCGAGAGTAATCACCTGATTTTTTTACGTAAAAGATCATCTGGGATGTTTTTACATCCCAATTAAAATCACTATTAACAACATATTGTATATTATCGATTTATTACTATTTCCGATTTATTACTATTTGAGAACATTATAGATATTAATTTAATCCTAATTTTTAAAAAAGTATTAAATTGAAAAATTAAATAATTAAATTTATAAGCGGAATAAGCACGTTAAGTAGTTTATTATGACAGTATTTCTAAAATATAAAGATTTTTATTAATGTAACACTTTTTTTATGGTAGATTTTCGATGGAGTTGCATTTTTAAAGGTTCACAAAAGAACAGTTATTAAAAAAGAAAGAAAATATAAACAAAATATTCAAACAAAACAATATTTTGTAGCAATTCATATTTTTTAACGCTGAGGTGTAAAAATATTTCTCGGGTGACTATTTCTGAGTTAAACATCATTTCAAAAACGTCAGGAAGTTTATGTTATATTTTTATTTCTTCAGATTGCAACATGTGGCGGATGTCGGAGTGGGATTGGTACTTTTGATAGCTTTCAGTTCGGTTGCAGCTCAGGGAGCTAAGGAGATAGTCAGAGAACGATTGTCGGAAGAGAAGAGAATACTTTACTTAGCTGGAGTTCATCCTATCACGTATTGGACGACAATCTTAATTTGGGATTTTATAGTGAGTAATTTTAGTGGGAAAAAAAGAATATAGGAATTTCTTAAATACACTAAGAACGAATCATGTAATACATATTTGAAAAATTTATGTTAAGTTACACATTTCACATTTCACAAACGATTTAAATTTTTGTGTTAATTTAATATCTATAGTACAAAATATGTTAAATTAATACGTACATTTTAGAATGTACTTTTTAAAATTACACTATTTTTATATTTGTTTATTTACTCATAAAGTGTTATTATAACATTAACAAATGTTAAATGTTAATTTAATACAAAATATTCGAATAATATAATCACATTATATTCAATTAGCACTCGAATATGCTAAAAATTCAATAATCATATCAAAATTTTAATCAGGATCTCGGTTTTAACACAAGTCGAAATATTTTTTTATTATATTTTATACAATTTTTAACATTATTAATATTTCTTCTTTTAGGTATTCCTTTGTGCCACCTGTTTAGCGATCATTGTTTTCGAGATCTTCGGTTTGTCAGCCTACGTTGCGAGAGATAATCTAGCTGGAGTTTGTCTTTTATTAATTCTATTTGCGTAAGTATTCGTGTTGAATTGTTTATTCACATAAGGTCGATATAACATAAATATCTTTAAAATATTCATCCATAATTTTAGATGGGCAGCACTACCGTTTTCGCATCTAGCCGAAAAAACATTCGATGACTCGAGTCTGTCGAACATGGTGCTTTTCTGCGTAAATACCTTTATAGGTGTGATCTGTCTAGCGACAATTTTAGTCCTCGACATCGTCGGCCGAAGTAAAACGACCGAAGACGTGAGGAACATACTGCATTATATTCTAATGATCTTCCCGCAATATGCTCTCGCCGACGGGTTGGTTCAGATCACGACGAATGACATCACCGCCGAATTGTTGGAAAGATTCCACATGGATACTTACAAGTCTCCACTCGGCTGGGATCTTCTCGGCTACCATTATGTATATCTGTCTGTAATTGGTGCGATTCTATTCTTGTTGAATCTAGTGATTGAGTGTCGATTCTTGCCCAATTTGAGAAGGCAAAAAATTAGTTATGAAACAGTCCAGGAAGACGATGACGTTGCCAGGGAAAGATTGAGAGTTGAGGCCGGGATGGTCGACGACACCCTGAAGACCGTGAAGCTGCGGAAGGAATACAGGAGTGTGTACGGAACAAATGTCGCTGTGCAAAATTTAAGTTTCGGCGTACAGGCCGGAAAATGCTTCGGCCTCTTGGGAGTGAATGGAGCAGGAAAAAGCACGACATTCAAGATGCTGACAACAGAAATCATTCCTACGGCCGGGAAGATTATTCTGAAGGGGAAAGATATTGGCGCGCAGCCTTTGTGCAACGGCGAGGTTGGATATTGCCCTCAGAGCGACGCCCTGGATGGATTCCTCACGCCCCATCAATGTTTGACGATTCATGGTGAAGTTTGCGGGTTGAGCAATGTTCCTAAGGTAGATAAGAAATGAATCAATTTGAAGAAAAGATTAAACTTGTTGATCAGAATTTAATAGGCTTTTTAAACTTATGTACCTCTTATTTGCCTTTATATTTTACAGAAGCATTCAAGATGTTCTTGTAAACTTTTACAGATTATTTTATCTCCGAATTGCAGAGGAGAGCTAAGTTTTAAGAGTTAAATTTGTAGAAGCAAATATTCGGAATTGGGATATTAAAGATTTTATTTCATTTATAATTTCAGGCAGTGGAGACGACGCTGAAGAGATTAGATCTACTCAAGTATGCCCATCGAAGGGTCTCTGGCCTCAGCGGCGGTAACAAGAGGAAATTATGTGCCGCAATAAGCGTTATGGCTCCTGCCGCAGTAATTCTCATGGATGAGCCCACAAGGTATTTCGCATAATTTTATAACTACATTAAATAATTGTTAATTTCACGCGACAGTTACTTAATTCTGTATTAATTTTATTCCTCGTTCGTGTCCATTAGCGGGATGGATCCCGCCACGAAGAGTTTCGTGAATAAAGCCGTGAAACAAGTGACGAGAAGTCAAGGATGCGTCATACTAACGTCGCATAGCGTTGCCGAATGTGAGAATCTTTGCACAAGGGTGGGCATTCTCACCAAAGCTGGTCTCAGATGTATAGGAACGTCACAGCATTTGAAACACAAGTAAGATTACATTGACCTTTATTTTTCGTAGAATAACACGTCTCTTTTAACCTCGGATATTTCCCAGCAGACTCATAAACCGTACACAGAAAGCCCGGCGCTTCTATCAGTTCTGATTTTCCGTTCCTGTTAAGAATCCTTTTCTTTGGTCCAACCAGAAAACTTACGGGATCCTTACAGTTCTGCAGCTTAACGAATGTATTCTTCAATTGAAATCTTTTATCTTTATAGCATCCCATTCTGTTTGATAATCCTCTTGAGAAAGATAAGCGATACAGCGAAAGTATAAAGTGGAAAGAAACTTTGGTGGTTGAGGTTCATTAGATCCCCGATCGGTCTAAACCTACAAATATTTTTTCCTCCCCTAATAACTTAATCAAAGAAAATTTTAACTTTAAGTTACTATAATGTAAATATTTTAATTAGATCGCCGGAAAATATAATCAAGTCTAAGACCTTTCATAATAATAATATTCTTATGTTTAAGATTAAATTGTTCACTGAATTTGATTTCTTAATGGAAAAAAGCGTGAGAAAAATGATTGACTTGATATTATTACTAATGCGATAACAAAGCTAGCCTTTTATACTGAGAGAAAAAAATAGTTACAATTATCGTATTTTAAGTATAATTTATAGTTATTTTCGAAGTAAGCTATATATTTTTCTAGAAAACTTATGAATATAATAATTATTATAGTACTAATAATAATTATTACATGCATATTAATAATTATTAATTATACAGTAATAATAATATATTTATAGTAGAATTTTAAATACAATATAATTATTATCATTGACATACAGCAGTAATAACTGTTATTATAAAATGAAACTATGATTATTTTATCAATTATAGTAACAAATATCAAACACATTTTTCTCAATCTCTGTGTAAGTTATTTTAACTGAAATTAATTGAATGTGTACGAAGAAATCTTTATTAAACACGACATGATTTATTTAGAATAATAATGTAGCGTGTGATAAATATTTAACTGCTATGGTCCTAAAGTGCCTTCGTAAAGGATCTCGGAAAATGTTTTCTACCTCCTTCCATACCGATTCTTTCGTTTCCGCGGTGTTTCTCGAGCTATCGAGAGCAGAATTTACGATATGGTCCTGTTCACGTTAGCAGCCTATCCTGCAATCCGCTCTCGTGTGTCACAGAGAGTACGTTGAATGATAAAGAATGGCGAATGTACTTCGTTACAGTATAGAAAGCGCAGTAAAAGCTGATCCCCTGTGTCCTTTGTCCAAGCCAGGAGCTTGAAATATAGATCCGCGTCCCCCGCGATCGAATGCAACGAAAAAGTGAATAAATCATGAATTTAAGAATGCTAATAAAACCGGTTTCTCTCTTACGACCCACGCAAATCTTTTAATAGCTCTTCTGAATAACTTCTCCATCGCAGCTTCTTTACTGCGACCATCAACAGTTAATTCGAATGTCATTTGACGTTGAGAACTTGCCTTGAAAACTGGATTTAAAGCCGACTTGACTTTTAGATTCGGCGAAGGATACATCGCCTTTCTGAGATTCGGCCAACCAGTCTCCGCTACGGATCTTAGGAAGGTTATCCTGAAATATCTGCCGCAGGCGATGATCTCTTCAAGGCAAGCAACGGCTGCTCGGCTCTTGCTACCACGAAGCCAGGACATGGCGCTCAGCGTGAGCTTCAGCATGCTGAAGCTTCTGGCGGAGGAGCTTAAGGCCACGGACTACACACTCACACAGAGCTCGCTGGATCAGGTCAGTGAATCCAATTCAACGATACTGTATTTCGTGGATTTTTGTCGAGTTTGATTTTCAAATATGTCGTTTTTCGTATTATTTCGAACGTGCTCTCGAAATTGAAGCAGATATTGTCGTACGTGGAATTATGCCAGTTCGATCCTCGCGAATTCATCATTTTTCTTTTCTAAAATTGTATCACGAGTTTAAGGTATTTCAGATACACATATAACTACTGATGGCTTAAGGCAAGAGCGCACGATAAATATACAAGTACGATATCTTACTGAAAAGTCTAAAAATTTAATTAAATTAAATATTTTTTAAATTTAAAAATAATTTTGTTGAACCATCAAAATAAGTATATAGGGAATTTAAATATAATAAACAATACTATATACAATTTTGTCATATTTTGGCAATCAGTTTGAACGTCCCATATACTCATTTTGATCCAATAAAATTATTTTTAGATCTATACCTAGTTACATTTTTAAATATTTTAACAAAATTCTTTTCGTAGACGGCTTTATAGTCGACATAAGTGTCATTATATCTTTGTTATTTATTTTGAATTCCAAGGACAAAAAATAATGTTTATATCGAACTAAGGCAAAAGCATATAATAGAGAAAATATCAACCGATTGTGTTGTTTGTGGAAAATAATTTAAATTGTGTCATACCTATACTGAGAGAAAAAAAATGTACTAAATTATAATAAATTAATTTATTTAAATACTAGCTGAATATTTACTAAACGTTAACATATTTATTTGGTACAAAAACCATTAATTTTATTTAATCATTTTTTTATTTAGTAAATATTTATTAAAATTTAAGTTAGTACCATTCAAACAAATATTTATTAAAATTTAGTACACATTTTTTCTCAGTATAAGTACTTATGTACTTTACATACTTTGTCAAGGACTTTTCATAAACGACACAATAGTCGACCGATACTTTATCTATCGTCTTCTTATCTTTAAAGGTTCGTCTACATAAATTTCGTAGACGATCGAGTGGAAACTAACCAATCCAATGTAAAGAGAATATTCGACTAAGATTGGTCAATTTCCTACGATTTAAGATCCTACGAAAATTTACGACTTTTGTGTAGACGAGCCTTAAAACCACGATATTTAATTCGCGACGTAATCTTTGGGTGTACCGCGATGAATACACGACGGCGATATTCTAAGGGCTTGTCTTCAGCAGATGATGCACCGCCGCCGCACAGCGCCTCCTCCTGTCGTCCAAAGACGATCCGCATTTTCGTCCCACCGATCCTGACGGATATTAATGGATCCGTTCGTCTCGTAGCTCGCTTACATACTCCCACGCGATGGTTTACAAGCTGCAGGGAGGCGGGTAGTGCTCTTTCCTGTCTTCTCCATCGTCCAAAAACTGTTGTTAATTAACTGTTCACTTCTCTCTCTTCCCATTTTCCTTCTCCTCCGAAATAATTCACCACTTGAATAATGAAGCCTGAATCTTGTCGAAATTGCGAGTGTAAATCTTATGCTACCGAATTCCGCTCCCGAATTTCGAAGCCTTGTACGTCGTGTTGTTGTAACGACAATTGTCTTTCACGTCACTTCAATGAGAGCGGATTGCAGATGCTTCTCGGTAAATGCATATTGTTGGCGTACGCAAGTCAGCGCGATTCGGTAAATGCACGTCAAAGTGCCGAAGTCCCTTCTACGCGCGTTTCTCGAGTCGTGTATTTAACGTTACTATTCGCTGCGAACACGACGATGCAATTGAAGTGCAATCAAATTAATTACAATCAAATGAAAATCATATGACGTGCCGGTAGCTTTCTTTCATGCTGCCATATAACATTGTGCACAAAAAAACTTAAGCAGTAAAACGTTAGCAGTATGAAAATATTGGATTTGCTATGGCTTACGATATAACTTTACGGTCTTTACTGTGATTAGTCAATTTCCTTACTACCTACATTTCATTGCTTAAATTTTTTATGTGTTATGGCCCTTACCATGAATAAAGAATTTTTTGCCATTCTGTTTGAGTCTCTGTCCTCGTGCAACGTTCCAGTAAATCCGGAGACACCAACTACGTTTATGCGAAATTGCAGGCAGTCCTATCTCTCTTTTCGCGTGATATCTGCAAACTTACGGACACGCGCATGACGTCCCGCGCTTTTTCTCTCACGTTTTTACCTGGGAATAAAATTTTTTTAAAGCGACACGACTGTTGTGTAATTGAGTGGCCTATATGTCCAACTTACGGACAAACAAATTATGTCCAATGTGTTCGTTGTCGCAGCGCCGAGGAAGAGTGTATTTGCATGCAGAGAAGATGCACGCGAAGAGGTGCGATTTAAAAAATTGTGCATCATGACTTTCTTTAAGAATTACAGCGCATGTGCATATCATTTTTATCATATAATTTGGAATTATGCATAATTCTGTATTGTAAACGCATTGAATCGCGTGTCATTTTAAATTACAGATTTTTAAATTTTATATGATTTAAACAATTAAAATAGATAACAAAATTTTAATGAAGTACAATATATAGATGTATGAGATAAATTTTCGAAATCTATATCAATTTTATAAAGCATAAAAAATCTCATATATATATATATATATATATATATATATGATATATCATATATATATATAAAATTATTCATAAAACTAGTTTTTATGTTGAAAGATAGAAATATATTTATTGCCAGAAATATTAGTTCAATTGTGTGCTACTCTTAAATGCTACTCTATATGCTCTTCTGTAATTACTTTTCCGCCTTGCTACAAATTCCTTTGAACGTTAATAAAAGGGACAAAATTCATAACATTTAAATCATGTGAAATAACAGTAATTTTTGTTTTATCATTTTCCTATAAAAATATGTATAATTAATTAGGAATATGATTAAAATTTATTCGACATAGGAACAAAAAGTATATTTATTACTAGAAATAGTAATTAGTTCAGTTGCATGTTATTGAACGTGTACACTTCTCTGTAATCATTTTTTCGCTTTTGCTACAAATTCTTTTGAACACCAATAAACGGAATCAAGTTGATAACGTTTAAATCATGTGAGGTAGAGATAATTTTAATTTCACGATTTTCCTATATTACAACATTTAATAAATAAATACTTTATTACAAGTTTCGAGTTGCATATGTGATTTTTAATCGCTTGTGATTTCATAATTTGAAATCCAAGTGTATGTCGCATTGCAATTAAAAAATATGGTAACGATACATCGTAAATTGTATATCTCTGATGACCAGAAGTTAAAATTTGCATTTCGTGGGGCCTCCGTCTTACCACCAAACTATTCCGCTGCTCTTCACGACTCTTTGCGAAATTTACCGTGCGCGCAAAGCGGTTACTAGCCGCATTTGCATAAGCCGGTTAATAAAGAAAAATTTTAATTTTGAGGCTAATTAAAAAACTTCTTATATATAAATTTTCAGTAGATCATACGAAGACGCTTTAATTAATACCGCTCTCGGTCATGATATTACATTATTAATTATTTTCGCAAATTGTGTATGCCGCATCCGTTCAGATAAAATCTAAAAATTATGAAAAATTCAGTCCGCGCGAGTAGTGCAAAAAGAGAATTCACAGCGTGGTATTAAAAAAAAATAGTCATTACAACGATGCATGAAGCTTGCAATTTCCTCCCTTTTTGTTTTTTTTTTTTCGAATTCAGGTTTTATATAAAGCGCTGTCCGGCCGAGAATAATGAAACGGGATTAAAATAAAGCGCTGTTTTATATTTACGCTGCAAAATTATTTACGGTTGTTTCCTATCCATCCTGATTTACTCGCTGGAATGCAGCAGAATCTATTTCGCTCGCGTGTCGTAAAGGGAAAGTGAACTTTATTGTGCGTATACAAATGCGGATTAAGAATTTATTACATCACCGGACAACACGCAAAAAAATACTCTTCGCGTGAATAAAATGAAGTTATGGAGAAACGGAGTTAATGACAAAGATATGTTGTTATTTTTTACATTACTTTTACTTTGTTTCGCAATTCTTTTCAACAATACATCATTCAGTGTTTCACGATTTAGATGCAACGATCATAAATCACGGAGTTGCGCGACAGTGAAATCGTCAGCGCGGATATGTAGATCTTACGGTCCCGAAAAGTGTATGCAATCCATTTTCAACTATCCTTCGCAGTTCTACGGCGTCTGAGAATTCTAAGAAGCGGTTCCAGATCGAAATGAACTGTCCAGCGCTTGAAGGAAGGATAGAAATTGAAATCGTTGCTTGAGTGATCGATCGATCTCGATTGAACGGGTACGATTTAATTTTTATGAAACGAGAACGTAAATTGCAACAAAGAATATATAGTTATATTAAGGAATATATATTTTAAATTATTTATTCTTTGCTTACGTTTCATTAAAATGCAACCATAATTATAACTTTTATTAAAAATTTGATAATTCAGCCAAAACGGATTTCGCAGATTGAATGGAATTAGAAGATTGTGACAAAAACGTTTGCGAATAAAATATCAATATCCACTGAAAGAGCGAACTAAAATATGCGAGAAATTCAAGAGAAGCGTTATCGAATGCGATGAATAATGAGAGCTTAATTGATCACTTATAAGACGGCGCGTTGGTAAAGTGAGAGAAATTCACTACTTTCATTACTTGAAACGAGAGAAGTGGTTTTATGGAGTCTTTTTGTCATCAGAAATAGAATCTTTGCTTTTGGACCGATAATACGATCGATCTATCAACTCGTTGAACAATTTCTATAATAATTGGTTCAGTCTGAAAATATTGATGTTTGCAAAAATTTATCCCGCAATTGCATCCCGTACCCCTCGAATTTGGGAACGCCTTCGGGATTATCATTGCTAATTGTTATTAGCGAGAAGGAAGTTTAGGTCGCCGTTTTCCGCGCCGGAAAACATCGTCATCTGTCCTCTCCTGGGTGTATTTAAATCGTCGTTAAATACAAACTTGCGTCACGTATTCATCCTTACTTCTTGAAACTTTCCCCGTGCGAACATTAAGGTCTGCCATGATCCCCCCGTTGTTTTGTA